TGCACACCCTCCCCCCCCCTCTTGCCACGCCTTTTCTCGCCATGCTCAAAGTGACTCGGAAGCAACAACTTACCCCTTCCCCCTCCCCTGCCCCTGCCGACCCCACAAGAAAAATAATTGGAACAAGGCAAGAAGAAAGACGAAGAAATTCTTCCACAAACTGCTGCCGCCCACAGTTAGAACCGGATTGTTTTTGCTTAAGAAGGAGAGTTCGTACCATTGCTGTTCGCACGAGGTCGTCGTTCCAGCCGCTGCATTTGCGTTCGGCAGGATCGTTGACAGACTTCGTACGAAAAGAAGTTGTTCGCATTACCGTCACAGCCGAGATACCAGAAGCGAGTACATTTGCCTGAAATCCAGGAAATCAGGGAACAGAGCGAGGTCTCGTTTCACCCACCATGATCTCTGTCGAAATAGAAGCGGAAGCCGGCGTTCGCTAGACACTTGTCTTCATTCTTCCCGTTGCCGTGATCGAGTGGCATGTGACAGTCCATTTCAGTATCTAAAAATTCGTTTTGCGACCCTATGAGGAATTTTTTCGAATCAGGTAATATTTGAGAAAAGGTGCGGAAAAACATGAGTGCTTCTTTCATAGTGCTTTTTCATGATTCTTGTCAGGTCGACACTTCGTTGTCCATTGCTGAGAGCGGCGATGCGGTTAGTGAGCGGAAGCGAATAGGAAGCGCGATATAGCGGCGCTATAGTGGATGCTCAAGGGCGCTCTCAAGTGGCACTAACCGCATCGCTCGAAATTTCGCCAATCATAGTCTTTCCAGCCACGTGAGGGCAAACCGCTACGACATCATGCTATCTTTTCAGCTGGTATCGCGCAATCAGTCGGGGCGGTGCCAGGAGGCATAAAATGAGCCCAACAGAGGTAGTTTATTCCACTGATTGTTTCCTACTGAATCAATCACCCGCCGATCACTATTGGTAGAAAACCCTACTAGGTCCAGCTCATTCGACGCCTCGAATAACTGCGAAAATATAACCTATAGTTTTGGAAACAAGTTCATAGAACTTGATTATTTGGTTGTGTATCTAACGTCACGTCCGCGATGAGCTTGGAGGCGGAGAAAGCCAAAAAGTGACCCCCCCCCAGCATCATTTACGGTAAGGAAGCGAAAACAGCACACCAGTGCAGAAAGAGTAGCCGTTTGCAATATCCGCCCATATGATCAGCGTGTACTGAGCCATTATGGATTATCTGATGCTTTGTGAATCTATTCATGGCAAAGCCTTTTCAGTCTGGTTGAAATTCTGTAAAACCCTCACCGGTTAAATACATGAAAGGTTCGCACAATCCTTGGCATTGCATCAATGTGAGGAATCTGTTGTCGTTACCCCCACATCCCGAATAGGAGAACGGCCGACAAGTCTTCGTATTCCGATCGAAGTAGAAAGACGGATATCTGTAAGGAGAAATTTAGGTTTATTTGAAAATTGGGAGTCTGTAACCTCGGAAAGGGCAAAAAAGTACAAAAAGTATTGGGTAAACAGTACTTAAAAGAGTACAAAAACTAGGATTCACGTAATCTGAGCGGAACCAATGTACATGAAATTGATTCGCAGTTAGGTCAATAAAACACTTTGCAGAAAAGTGTGCCGGTCGACGATCTTCCCTGCAAAGCCAGGCCGACGACTCCCTAACTGGCTGTCAACTAATTCCAATTTAAAAATAATGTGCGCTGCTCATACACGTTCATGAGGTGATGCTTCTGATATGTGTATGATCCAATGCACCGCGAACGATCTCTAATAGAACGCGGTGGGTTCTGGTCCTTCCGGCAAAGATCCAGGCGCGAACTACAGCGGGAAGTGGCCAAAAAAGACCCCTTTTCTTTTGACCTTCGACGAACGCTATAATAAACCTTTAACTGAATTCAGATCGGATATTTCCACCACCATATTCACAGCATTATTAAAATACTATCCATGATACTACGCCATATCTCTGGATACGACCATTCGAAGACTCTGCACCGAATGCTCGGATTCGTGGCTGACTTCACGATGACCGTTGATTTCTCACGCCACCGGGACCACCTCTGTGAGCTTGCCGCGGCGCCGGTAATTAGGAGATTTAGGTTAGGTGACCTATCAAAATTCCACCTCCTCAGTACTCAAACGCCCTTGCCATCCAAATTAGGTACGAGTTCTCCAACGCCCTTCGATTCCAAATGCGGTGCACCAATCGTTGCAGTACAAAGTTCCAAAAGATGGATATGGCGACGGCAATGGAATTCTCGAGTGCTCGATGTAACCCCTCTACGCTCACCCAATCTGGAGTCCCACGAAGAAAATATCGTCTTTTCATTCCAATACTCTCGGTCCATACCAAAAAAGCCCGCGCCGCGCCTGAAGATGAGCTAGACGCGTAGCGACGTTGTTCGAGCTGCTGACGTGATAGTTCTTCCAATCGAGAAGTACCGGTCCTCAGGTAGTCCTGCTATCGCTTGGTGATTCCATAGTAGTAACCTTCGCAGTTGTTTCAGGTACATAATCTCAAAGTCTTTCTACAGTATTCCTGCGACGGAAGATGACTCACATTTTGTGTAACATGAGGTGATGGGCGAGAGCCAGCTCCTGCTTATCGAGGAACATCTTGGGTATCTTCCGCCCTGGTACTCGTATCCACGTCCTCTGTCTGGGCTGCGAAAACTTTGCTGATATGTGACTCGGTCGAAGTGACTTTTTTTGCCCCCCCCCCTGTACACTGAAGCAAACACGCAGCTCCATGGGCGGCTCCGGCCAAAAAATCACGCGAAAATTTTACTGGTATTGCGAGTTGCGAGGCATTCCAATGGACAAATTCGTTCAGACATAAGGTGATGGTGTCCTATAAATAGTGCCACCGCTCGGCTTACATTGATACCTGTACACTCTTCTTCTCTGCAGGTCAGACACGATCCTCATATGAGGGACTCCGCAACATGTGCTTTACCCTGACCAACCCCCTCCCACTCCGGTCCCCTTATGATGTTACTGGTGCCGAGAATTGCTTTACACCTTGTGAAGGCCCACAGGAAAGCGTTAAGAAAAAGAAGACATGGGACCAAAACTCACGTTTCTTTGCACGTACCAACTTCGAGTGGTTGTAGACAACGATATTTTGTTTCCGGCTTGAGAACAGTTTCGGGATTTTCATGTTCTGCAACGGTTTATTGACGAATCACATTAACGACGTTGTTCTGCGGTTTCATTGATGCAAACTTCGAATATCCTCATGGAAAAATTGTTACAAGTGAGATTTTTTTAAACCATTGTTACCAAGACCCAAAGAAAAGGGGTCCAATAAGGGAGAAACGCCGGTCGAACTCCTCCATTCATGAGTCACGCTGAGTGCTGGTCACACTATAAGGGAAGACTCAAAATACTCTTCTTATGGTTAGATCAGAAAATAGTTCAACAGAATTGGGCGCACTTCGGCTTGGAGGGGCATGTTGCTGGTTCCATTTGATGACTGCCGATGACCCTTGCAGAGACGTGTAGCTTGTGAAGCTATGCATTGCATCATTCATACTTGTTAGAAATGTGCAAGCCTCACCCAAGTGGGACGTGTAAGTCAACAGAAACTAGCAAAAAACAGGCGGAATTGCAGAATTCACCCCCTAAGTCGAACAGAGTCTAGATTTTGGCAGGTACAGTGAGCGAGCACATCAGACTACCTCCTTTTCCGTTCATGACAAGTCAACATTAACTCTATAGGCAGAGCCGGCCTATCACTGTGTCTTCTTAGTGGTCCTCTTTTTTTGCCAAACCAACAGGAACGCCCCACGTTGTTCTTAGAGCTTTGAAATTCAAAAGGTGCGTGGACAGGGACTTCGTTGTGACCACAGCTGCGACTATAATTGCCCCTTCAGCAATAGAATCGTCAGCATAAGAAAGTTGGGAATGTTTGCGCCTTCCACTGCTCCCTGCCCTAGACCCGGAATGCCCACAGGTGCGCAGCTGCTGTCATATACTTCAAATTTACTCTTTACGGGCGCCGTGGTATGGAAACCAGTGAGTATGACCCGTTCAGATAAAAGCTAAAGAGGTAGCACAATGGTGAGCCGGCTCCGCTCAGACGGTGCAACTGCGTTTTTAAAGATTTTGAGCTTAATCTTTCCAACTTCTGTTCGAATGACGAATAGAAGTCGAGAGCACAGAACGACCTGAAATGCACTGACCTGGCTGCTCACAAAACCCTTGGCATGTCTTCAAATCACTGAAAATGTTTTGAGAAGGCGAGGTGCAGCCATCCCACCAAAACTGCACGCATTTTCCAGTGCCGTGCTAAAGTCCAGAGTTCAAATGGTAGAGTTAAATCAAATTTGAAGTTACTAAAATCTCCAAAAAAGGACTTTACATCGAAGTACACTTTCTCTACCCATTCTCCACCTCTGCACGATTCCTTGTACTTCTCATCGAACGCATCACTACAAGAAGCTGAAAGTATTATGGTTCTCTGTTGATCGATAATCGATTGGTTAGTGCTCCTATACCTGGAACTCGTTCGTCGTGACGTCGTTCACATATCCACTGGCATGACTCGAGTGTTGGATAGATATTTTGGCCTGTACCACGGCAGTTTCCGAACCTGAATCAAAAGTCTACAGTAGTACCCGCTGATTAGCTATCGGGAGAGACTGATTACCAGAACATTCTGCAGGTATTTGAGGTAAGATCGAAGTAGTAGTGCTGTTTGAAGTGTCCATCATTCGAACAGGAGTCACGATAGCCGTCGTTGAACGGTTCCAAACATGACTCTGAAAACAGAGGCGCACAGTGTAATCTGGGGACAACAAGAGGCGTGGCTGCGTTACTGGCTAGGGTCGAAAGAGAAGCAGACAAGCATGTTAAGGAGAAAAGAATTGACGAGGGATTCCGTAGTCATTGCCAGGGCACCTCGTTTCCAACAGAGTGTGCATATCCAAGGGCAGTGCTGGGTGTCCCGGCATATTTCTGTGCAAACTTCCCTCTCTTATACATAGGTTTGCGGCTCGCTATCTCTGGACCCTGACTTTTCTGACATCCACACCCCTTGTTGCCCTCAGATATGGACCTATCCAAACCAGCACTTTAGTTGTACCAGTCCTACAAACATGATAACTTTCAATTAAACTGACGAGCAAGTTCACGTGGTGGCGATTCGCATAACTGCTCACATTGATCCTGCGTGACGAAGAAGTTCTGGGACGACGACTGGCAGCCGCCCCAATGGATCGACTCGCACTTCTTTCTGAATTCCAGTATAATACAAGTGAAGGTTGAATTTGCTACCATTTTGAGTAGATTTCGGAAAGATAAGCATAAACACAACATTTCCGTTTTTATTGCATCGGAAGGGAGAACAAGACCGAGATTCCGCTCTCATAGATGGAATGGAAGAGTGATCCTCATCTTTCGAGTGATGGGTAGGTAAGTATGGAGAGAGAAAAAGGAAGAGACGGAAGAAGAGAGGAAGGACTGGGATGGAGAAAGCTAACCCAATTTTTCTTCTAGGCTCCCCTTCTCTTTTTAAGGAGGGACCGACCCATCATTGTGTAAGATTTTCTCTCCGAGGACCTAAACTCTGCGCGCACTGTGCACGTTGAACATCACGTCGCCAAGCTAACGATGAATCGGTCTAGAAATAAAGCTTACATAGGTGAATGGATAAGGAAAGGCAGGTCTCTTTTCTCGAGGTTGCTGTTCGGCTTGGAGAAGAAGGGGCACTTTCGCTAGTATCTTTCGCGGTTCCTCAATACCCGTGTCATCTTGGTAAGACGGGAAGACTCTTGTCAATTGTAATGGAAGCTCATCCTAGTGCACAGCTTCACAGCAATTTCAAAGACTTCATAGAAGACCTCGGTGGTGATCGCAGAACCACCGCCGAGCCCAAATACGCCCTCCTGCAACATTCGGCTTGGTGGGGTACCCGATGGTATTTGGCTGATATGTCTTTTACAACTGTTGTACAAAGTAGGCCTAATTGAGTCTAGTCGCTACAAAAGCATCAGTCATTAGATGA